TTGGGCGGTTTCAGTTCCAATTCGTTTACCAGTGCCATCAATTTGTCAAAAGGACTCGGTATTGGTAGTCGCATTCCTTTGAAATGCGTGTCAGACTCTTGCGCAAGTTTTTTCCTGAGTACGGGAGCCGCAAGTTGATAGCCCATTCGAGAAGTTTGACCCTGAAAATTGGTGGGCCGAGCACCATGCCAGTTGAGGCCTGATATCGGTGTTTCTCCAATTTATGGACCCCTTCACGAGTGGGTGCTTTTGGTTCCTCTTAAAAGCATCCAAGGGGACCCAAATTGAGTCGCGATTCGGTTCAAATGCCCAAGCGCCCATCGGAAGATTTTGGCACAAAGTTCTCACCTGTGAACAAATCGGCCCGCCGAAGCTTTTGCCCAGGGTGCATGGATATTGCTGACAAGAAGTCGTAGTGTTGCTGTTTGATCTCGTGGACATGGGTCCTCAGCAAGGCAATGTGAGCCCATCACCCCAGGAGAATGGGAACCCCGGGTTAGAAAGCCCATCCTGGCAGGGGGGTGTCACCCACAAAAGTGAAGGATGTCCAACGAAATGGGACCCCCCCACAATTAAATCCAACAGGGGTGTATCCATCCGGGGTGCGATCACTCAACCTGTTCTGTAAAGGGGGGAGGGCGAGATGCAGAGGAGGAGAAAAAAGCGCAGAAAGCCGGAGCGAGAATCACAGCTATTCTACTTATTCATACTGTGGATCCCTTTCGCACCACTTTGAAACCATGGGAAACCACCATGTGGTATTTACAGGGGAATCATCATTCCAGGGTTTCTTCGGTGGTGCAGGATTTTGTCCATCCACAGTAGTATTGCTTTGCTGGCATTGGTCGAAGTCACCACCATGCCTTCAAGAACCAATACCGCAAGCCGATCGGGTCTAAAGCCGAAGGCCATAGCCGAGGTTGCAGATACGCGGGGCGCTAAGATATGCGCAGGCGTTTCGTTTCCAACCTGGTGTGTGCATCAGTTGGGCTCATTCTCAGAAAATTGTTTGTTGACACGTGGTGTCATGACATCGTGGACCATCGTCCCAGTGTCGCTATGCGAGTGCGGCCATGCTCCGAAGCTGAACTGCCCCGACATTTGAGATCGACCGGGGAAATTTGATGAGCACATCCCATTGCTCCAGTCACTTGCTTGACGCCCGTCCGTCGTGAGGTTTCCACTGGGAGAGGTCCTCTTCTCACGCTTTGAGGCGGATGAGCCGAGCTCAGTCTCCAGCGTTGGCGGTTGATTTTCGTTGGAGGTGATGTATGGCAGAGGCGGAGAGAGGGACGGGAAGAGGCGTGTCTCAAGGTTGCAACTTTGGGTTTGAAAACCAACCGGCCCAAACCTCACACATTCCCCGACGGGGCATTGCGTATTGCCCTTTTTCCAGCGATCTTGGAAGTGGACGTTTTGGGGACTCCCCAAAACCCTCCGATGGTCAGCTTTCATGATTGTTTGAGGCAGGGTAGGCATCCTCTGGATATTCCCCAAGCTTCCTTGCCCGCATTCAAAGAATGGCCCAAGGGGCCCCAATTTGGATGACACTCCTGAGCGGTAAAGAATGATGGTGATATAAGCTAACCGGCTTGAACCCCACGGAATAGGGAACCTAGAGAATGGTGGTTTTAAAAAAAAGAAAAAAGAAGCGAACCCAAACATACAGAAGATGTACCGGCGGCCTGCCTGAACCCCATTGCCATGACTCGAGGTCGAGGCTCTGAAAGTGGATGATGACATTCGAGAGGCAGGCGGGCACTGGGCAGAGCATTGGCCTTCGGTGAGCCCGACTGGACTGGACGTTTAAAGTTTAAAGGCTGCAGATGACCTATTTCGGTGTTGTTTCGTTTTTTTTTTAGGAGGAGCCTCCAAAATGTGGGTGTTCCTTTTGGTTTCCCTTTAAAAAAGAAAAAAAAAAAAAAAAAAAAAAAACGATAATTCTAGGGCTACCTTCCCCATTCTTTCCAGGGATCCTTCTTTTCAGGAAACCATCAAAAACCCAGGGAAACAGCTGGTTTTTCAAAAGAACGATGGTTGAAAAGAATGGGGAATCGACACCTAGGGTTGTTGTTTTTTTAGGGGGACCCTCCAAAATGTGGGTGTTCCTTTTGGTTTCCCCTTAAATGCCACAAACCAGGGGTACCAACAAAAACAGACACGCCCACATGCCGCTACAAGTTTAGCTTTTAGCGAGATCTTTGACAGCCCCTGCAACTTCTCTCGACCAGGTTCCGCACAAAGTGACTGGGCGGTGCATTGCTTGAACTAATAAGGTGTTTGGCCCAAGCCGACTCAAGGAGTTCAGAGACATGCATTGTCCCAGTAGGTCAAGTAACCCTGATTGTCTGTGCAGTGCTCACCCCGTTTTGCCCTGAAGATGTGTGCAGGGCACCTGAAAGCCAATCAAGTTGGGAATCGCGCAGCATTCCCTGTGGCGCGATTTTAATGTTTTTTGGATCAAGAACATGGCACGGTCTCTGCAGAAGGACTCGTCCAGCTCGGCGAGCTTTGGAGTCACAGTCGATTTGTTTTTTGATTTGGGACATGGTGAAGTCCCAAAAAAAACCGTTGTCGACATCCAATGGTGTCCCCGCAGAAACATTGGGGACACAAAAAACGTTGAGGTCATCCAATGGTTCATGGAAGTTGTTCACAGAAAGTCTCAGGAGCATGTCCCTCCGCGGAGAAACCGAGCTGTGGCCTCCCGGCCAGGCGTTCCATGCCACTGGGCGCCCAGCCCAGGGCGATGTGGCCGCCAGGAGCCGATGCCGGGATCAAGAAGCTGAAAAGAAGACGGTTGCCTCCAATTTTTTCGCATGACACGGACACCACATGACACGGAATCTGAGGAAAAAAGAAATATGTGTATGGTGAGTGTGGGGGGGAGAAATATGTGTATGGTGAGTGTGGGGGGGGGGGGGGGAAATATACTCAAGCTCTCCCCCAAAGGGCAGCAAACTGGCCACAGGTCTAGTCCCTTGGAAATGAACACACATCATCCATCTTGAAAGGAATTTTCTCTTTCAAGGACTCCTTTTGCCATGTCTAGGTCCCCAGTAGTGCCTTTTACCCTTTTTTGGGGAGGGTTCCCCTACTAAAATAGACTACTGAAAAAAGTTGGCACCCTTATTCTAACCTCTCTACTGGAGGACCTAGATTTACCCAATCCCCGGTACCGTGTTCCCAGGATCGCCCCAAAAGCGGAGCCGGCGCCGACAAAGCGGCAGCGACGTGCGCCGCAGAAGCCGCGCAAGGCCGGGCGATGTCCCCTGGAGAAAGGTGACGCGTACGCCGGCACCAGGGCTTGGGTCCTTTTGTGGGGCCCCCGGAAACTCGTAGCCCCCCAACTCCCTGCTGCAACCCAAGAAGGGCTCTTAGAAGATTCGCAGTGGCGCAAGTTCTGAGAACCATTCTGGCGGGTAGGGTTTAACACCTCAAAAAATAAATCCTCCAAACAAGGATTTTGTCCAAAAATGCGTTGCACCCCCTACGAATCAACCGTGGGATTAATCCTGGGTGAACATGATTTCATAGTATATAGTATTGCGGACGCATGGTGTAGAAGCTGGCAAGCACGAACTTGAGCAGACAGTCTCTTGGTTCACGTCAGTCCCTTTCGCCCTACGGCTTCTCCACAAATGGTCAACAAGAAGCTCACTGGGAAAGCGTGCACGGCAACCAGGCAAAGTTGGCGAAGAGGTCAGTGGTCTTGACTCAGTTTGCGTGTGTTTCTCCAAGCACCTCCGATTGCTTGTCAAGGGCTCCGCATGTTGCCTTACTCACTGAATTAATGGACTTCTTAAACTTTTTGAGAAAACCAATTCAGCGGTAAACAAGAAGTCTCGACTTTTTCTGGCCAATCTACTCGGGAAGAGCGAGTTGTCCATGTTGACGCTTTAACATCACACGCTGCCTGAGATAAAGTGCATTTTGTCTTTAAGCAGGAAATATATCCGGAGCCTGGAAGCCTCCTTGCACAGGTGCAGAACGTTCACATGGCCACCTGAGCTTGCGGATGTTTCTGAGGGAAAATGCGATGCGCCGCGTGGAGCGCCCCGGGCTGGGGGGGTGGGGTAGCAACTAGAGGGCACCATTGTTGGCTGTGGGGGTGTCTTCCTTGTTGAGGGTATCCAAGAGAAACTAAAGGAAACATGGGCTGTGGGTTGTCGTTTTTTGAGGGGACCCATTTTGCAGCTGCTTTAAGGAAAGGAAACAGAAGCTGTTTTGAGGTTCCCCTCGGCTCGCTTGATGCCACTGCCACTGTAGAGAGCTTGTGAAGCAACGCAGGTGGCGAATTTCCGGGAAAGCAACCTCAGTTCCGCAGTTGTTCAGCCAGCTTGATGTTTGTCAAATCAGAGCTCCGGAAACAAACAGAGTCACTTGTTCGGGGTTGCGTGTGTGTCCGTATTTGATATCAGCATGAGGGCGGAATCCTATTGGCCATTGTGCGATTGTTCAAGAACACAGAATTTACCAAGCATGTGGGAGGCATTCCCTGTTTTCGAGACATTCATGCATCGACACCCAGACACACAAGCATAAACGCACATACTCTCACAAACAGATACACACAATTCACGGCACGCGCAAACACGCAAACCCCATATTAGCACACTCGCAGCTCAAAGACACGGAAGCACAGGCGTACAAGCAAGCAACTGCGCAATTGCACAAATGGACGAACACATACGCAAACGCATACCTTGCCACACACACACACACACACACGCGCACACACACACACCAAAAAATAAATAAGCACACCGTCAGCCACACTCGCATGCAAGTCTGCATGCACATGCACAATCACATGTGCACACACACACACACACACATGAGATGAGTTGTAATTGGCAATTGAGTGTTGCTCAAAATGGTGGAACTTCTTTTGGTTGATATTTCAATTCAATCCAAAGGGGAAACCAACTATATTTTTTGGGGCCCACTATTTTGAGAAACCCCGCCTTTCTGGCCGCAGTGTTTTTTTGCTTCCCCAGGTGAGACGCGGCATTCCTCCCCAGCGAGTCTTCTTAGCCGGATATTCGCAAGGCCGGGCTTGCCGAACGGTTGGTGAGGTTCGAGGTATGAGGTATTCAGGAGTGCAGGGATTCCCCTTTCTATTTCAGCGGGCAGAATGATGACCAAATTTTCAATGATGTGGTATCAATGGTCAAGTTTGTTCCATATTCCGGAAGCTTTTGATTGCCTGTTGCAGTCACACGTGCCAGTGTTCGCTCATGTTCGGCCGGTTCACCTGCTCACTCCCTGAGTTCCTGTTGAAACAATTTGGGACGACCGTCTTGGTGGGAAACCAGAAGTTCCCGGACCTTCTCTTTTGCCAATCCACGGAAGTGAGCCGACGTGCCAAACGATTCAGAGCTCCTTAACAGGTACGTGTTGCATTGCTTTTTCAACACCAAAATAAAGGGAAACCACAATTTACAAGTTGCAATGTTCAGGTGTGTAATGTAAGGATCCCTGCTATTCCTTTGCCTCGATGGATCCAACACCTCACGGTTCTGTCAAGCGCAGGCGGGGGCTTAGCGCTGGCAGCTGCCCTGCGAGCTCCGCGGAAGTTGGGCGGGGCGCCAGCCCGAGAGGGCGAGGGCGAAGCGAAACGGAACCGTCCGTGTCGTGCCATGCAAAACCTCCCCCTCCCTTTGCTTGAGTTTTTGTGTTTTAAATTGTCCCTTGTTGGTTTTAAAGGGAATTCATCACTACTGGAAATATGTTCATTTTTCCTAGCGCCTTCACCAAATGGAAGTCCCCATGGGATGGTGGGTGGGTTTCCCTTCAAAATCAAATTGAAGGCCTCCATGGATGTGGTGGCTGGGTTGCCCTTGGGGATCAACTCTAAGGAGGGGGTCTTGAGCAACATGGCGGAACTACCAAAAAAAAAGGAAAGAACGCTTCGTCTGGGGATGCAAAACCTCATGGGATGCAAAACGTCTGCCTATTTTATAGGGAGCTCACAGGGTATAGCGAGCGAAGTTATGATAAAGGTCCTTTGCTTAAAGATCCCGGAATGCAGATTTTGGATGTTTTTAGTAAACTTTGCAGATGTTGTGGTTTTCCCTTGAAGATCAACGGTGAGAGTCCGCCACATGGTCAGCGCAATGGCCATGCAAAAAGACACCCTAGTCACACGTCCATATTTATCCGGCAGGCTTTTTGCCAAAGCTCCCGGTCGTGAGAAGCTCCGAAGTCAACTTTTGAACTGGAAGTGCGGGGCGAGCCGCATCCCAGTAGTTACCGTCAAGGGTGCTTCAGCCACCTCAGGTTCTGATGCTGAGCTCATGGGCCTGGTAGCCCGGGAAGATGCGTTGGCTTCTTTCGGTTTCGGTGTCACGTGCCATCTGCGTCAAACTCTGGCGGCTCTAGCCCTGAACTTCATACCGAAACCTGGGCTGACGGAAATGTGCATTGGGGTTTGGCGCCCATATCCAAGCCTTAGGCGTTTGAGGCGGTGCAAAGGTGCCATGGTAAACTCGCATGGAATTCTGCATGCAACCCGTAACAAAGAGGCTGTCAGTGCCTACGACAAGCACACGCACCAGAAGAAAAGTTTGGGTTCCTGCTTGGCTGACCCAGCGTAGCCAACGGACCGGGCACATGAGGCATGATTTTATGATGTGATGGCGAATCTCCTATACTGTTCAATCATGGGTAGGGGCTGATATGCGCGCATCGGCTGATTGTTTGAACTTTGAGCTGGCTCGTAGTGTCCGCCGCAAATGTCCTTTGCCTGGATAAGTTTCAAGATGAGGAGTTGTCTGATGCCTCAACCACTGATCCATGCCTGTACCCAAGTTCCTGAAGTTGTTGTTTTTTTCCGCACGCTTGGCTTTTTTGGTTTGGTACGTCAGTCTGATCCAATACTCAGACAGGTCTCTTTGATCGGTGGTGTTGGGAGGAAAACAGGGACAAGTGACCATGTGCATGGCGGTCCCCAATTCTAGGACATGCCCAGATGATTGATGCACAGATGTTTGCTGAGCCACCTCGCTGTTCTGTCTTACTACTCTTTGGCGGTACTTCTTGTGCTTCTGTTGAGGTAGCAGAGCCTCTGCCAAGCGAGTTCAAGGACGCTGAAGATACACTTGCCATTGATTTGACATGGGACCTGTTGAAATGATCACAATTGGAAAGTGTCATACGGTGGTCTTAGCATTACCAACCAACAAGGGTTTCAACCATGGTTTCCTTTCGTGCTGCGAACTTTCTGTCCTCCATCCACAGTAAAAAACACTAATCCAGCGCTTCGGCCCCACACCTAGTGTCGCGTGGGTAGCTTGCCTCGTGGTTTGGCTTTAGCACCACAAGAAGAGTTCACCGGTACCCTGAGAAAAGACACACGCGGGTCCTTGTGCAGCCAAAAGTTGTTTTCAAGAAGCCAGCGCAACGGTAAATGGTACAGTTTGTTGGGTGGGTGATTAGCCAATGTCCTGTAGAAAATCCTGTAGCTGGTGTTTATGAATCCACAATACACGATATAGT